TGTTGAGATTGGGGGGCTAGGTCAAGATTCACCGCCTTGGGAATTCATCTGTTCCCTCCCCTCCTGCTGTTCCATCTTGGAGGGGAAGATGAGATGGCATGGCCACACCCTCTACTTCCGTCCCCAAGACTGAGTCACCTAATTGCTGCCTCCATCTCTAAGCAGCTTGGTCCTTGAGCTCTGTGGTAACGCTGAAACAGAAGCCAGAAGGTTCTGGGACACAAGTTCCTCACCTCCCCTTGGCACAGGGGACCCATAGTCTCCTGAGATTCAGCTTATCCTGAGACTTAGCCGTTTGTCTCTTTGGCCTAGAGAGTCAGTTTGTATGAATCTAATTGCAGAACTCCATCCCACTAATAGAACCCTATTTTCCCATCAGGAGCTACAGTCACAGGGCAGGGACTATGAGTGTTGTTCCAGTGCCTAGGACAGTGCCTGGCACACAACAGCTGTTCCATGAACATTTAGCAGGAGGCCAGGGGTCGAGAACAGGTTTTGAGAACAGGTCTTGGAGGGTTCTTTGGCCAGCACGGGTCCTGACTGCAGTGCTCTAACCCTCTGCTGTGAGGGCTTGAATGACTTGAGGTGGAAAAGGCCCAGAAGAAGGATGCTAGACTAAAGTCACCAGATAGGGTGACTTCCTACTCTAGGGGAAGCTGGACCTGGAGCCACAGGTCTGTAGTCCCAGCTACTCAACAGGCATAGGAAAGAATCACAAGTTCAAGACTAGCCTGAGCAACTTACTGAGACCCTGCCTCAAAATAAGGGCTGGAGATGGAGTTCAGTGGTAGAGGGCTTGCCTAGCTTGCACACGACCCCGGGTTCAATATTTAAAAAGACAGGGAAGTAGAATATTGCTAAAACTGTGACACGTCACAGATGCATCGTGATGCACCTTCCTTTATTCCCACCAAAGAGAGTTAACATGTTAAATGGCGATTAGGTTAAAACTTATCCAGGGTGAAGTGGGAGCATGTTTTGTGCCTGCCTTCCATGTTTTAGGGGCTAACACCCTGAAGAGAGCAGGCCCGAGATGTCTGCCCTTTACCCGTGGCTACAGACAGCCTTGGTTTTCCAGTTAGGTTCCTCTGTTTCCTCCCCAGGGACAGCTGTCAGGTTCTAATTTATGTATTTTCTCTGCTGCAGCCTAGAGCCAACGGTGAGACATTCTTAGCTCACGTTCTCTTCAGCATCCCCCTGCCTCAAGCAGCAGCCCCTAGCCCCCTCACCTGTCTAAGGGATCTGCACAGCCCTTGGAACCTCCTGGGAAAACTGGTCTCACTCCTCAAACAGCCTGTCTTAAGTCAGGTTCCTGTTTTGAATGCCAGGAGCTCAGGGCTTATTCTGTTCTTTTTGAAATGAACGCGCATCAGCTTCCGTCAAAGCAGACCATTTCTGTTTGATCCTGGAAATGTGTCCCTTTGGTGATTAGCTTTGCCTCCTCTTTGGAGCCTCCGTTCTGGTGTGAACCCCTGGTTCCTCTAGTTCCAATTACGTACCGCCCAGCTTTCTTCCAGCCTCACCCAGAAGTCAGAGTTGTGAATTTCCTATAAAACGCTGAGCCCTACCACCCCAGGCAGGCCTGAGCAGCCTGGGCCAGCCAGAGTGGCAGATGGTAATGTTTCCAAACTCGTGTAGGACATGTTTCCTACATTCTGGGTAACAGTTTCTTCTTTTGGTGGCTTATTTTTCAGTGTTTGGATTCAGGAAAGCAACATTTAGATTAGCCAAGACTGAACCAGCTATAGAGCTATGGAAACTACTTGTAGGGAGAGGCAGGGTGTGCTGGGGGAGGGAACAGAAGAACATTTGATCAGGCAGACTTAGAAAAGACTGTTCGTATGGGACTTGAAGAAAGATCCCCCAAGTCCTATCTCCTGAAGCTATGAGGAGCTTCAGAATTCTCTTTATCCTTTTGGGGGTCCATGACCCATCCCAGGTCACAGAAATAGCATTGACCCCACTGGAACTCCAGCAGTGCCCCCCAAGCCCGCATCTCTTCCAAACAAATATGGAATAAGGAGACAGAAAAGACCTTTGACCTCCCAGTCAACCAGACAGGAAGCAACGCTTTTCAGTGTTTACAAAAAGCAAAGCCCTCCCCCCAATCGCTTCCTATAACTCATAGCTTCTCTGCCTACATTGTGTGCCAGAAACTTCCAGAAGGCTTGATTCTATTGATGGGGGTGGGTCCAGGGCAACCTGTGTTTTGTTGTTTTTTGTTTTGTTTTGTTTTGTTTTGTTTTGTTTTGTTTTGTTTGAAGCTCCTCCATGAGATCTTGGAACCCACTGTTCTGAATCCTATTGGTCCCAAGAATTTGGTTCCCCATTCTATTCCCAGGAGGCCCCTTGCGAGGTGGAAGAGGTGACTGAGTATATAGCTGTGCCCCATGACTTGACTTAAAAAGAAAGTTTGTTATTAGCTGGGCTGTGGTGGCACACACCTTTAATCCCTGCACTTGGGAGGCAGAGGCAGGCGGATCTCTGTGAATTTGAGGCCAGTCTGGTCTACAGAGCGAGATCCAGGACAGCCAGGGCTATACAAAGAAACCCTGTCTCGAAAAACAAAACAACAACAAAAAAGAAAAAGTATGTTATTGTTTTACTTTATTTGTGCGCGCACACATGGAAGTCAGTGAACAACTTTCAGAGTCTGTCCTCTGCTCCCACCTTGTTGAAGGGGGAAGGCCTTCCTTTTTTCGGCCTGTTGCAGACTAGCTGGCCCATGGGCTTCACCACATCCAGCTTCATCCATGGGATCTGAGGCACAAACTCAGGTTTATTGGCAGTGTTTTTCCCCGTTGAACCATCCTGCCAGCCAGTGACGTGACGTCTGTCTCTAAAGGTCCTCAACTTTGACTCTATGCTGAGGAGCTTCTAAAGGTCCCAGTGCCTGACTGTACCAAAGACTAAGTCAGTCATGATCCCTGGGGACGTCAGCATGTGTAAACACTGTAAACCAGGTAGTACCACGTGGTTCTCAGCCAGAGTTGGAAATCAAAGTGTTGGGCAGAGCTGGGCACTCCTGTGTACCATAGACTGCATCCTCCTTTGTGTTTCCCTGGCCCCTGGGAGTATGTGAGTTTCCATCCTGGGCTGGAGGGCCAGGGGGATCAGGCTGCTGGACTGGCGGGTGGCGCTGTCCTTAGCTACACTTGACCCATACAAGCAACTGTCAGCCCTCCCACACACACGATAGGTACATATCCTGGTCAGTTAGAGTTTGGGAGGACTTGGAGCTGGAGCCTAAGTGGGCCATGTGACTTAATCCTGACCTAGAAGAGATTGTCACTCCGCCAAGAGAAATAAGATATGCATATAAAAATAGCTGTACTTAGATAATACAGAAGCCATTAAGTGCCACAGAAGCAGGAAAAAGTAGGTGCAGTATCATAATTTAAAAAAAAATTAAAACACTGTTGACTTATTATTTGCAGTGATGTCATGATTCCAAAAAGTCCATCAAAGTGTGTTACTCACTGTCAGTGATGTGGCGGTATCTTTCACTTAGACAAGTCACTGACCCCAAAGTTTCGTTACCATCAACCCGAGGGGACTTAGGATTGCCATCCTCATAGATAGACAGGCTCATGTGGGGCCCACAGCTAAGGGACTGTAACAGTCGTCTTGCCAGCCATCCTGCCTTGCAGCTGAGAGGAATAATGTACCCTGCCCAAGTCACACATGAAGCAAGGTAGGGGTCATCCAGGGCTGGAGGCCGAACTAGCTGAAGAATGAGTCTCTGGCTCTGACCCCATCTGCCGAGAATGCTCCACAAATCCAGTATCCATCCATTGGCCTGGTGCTAATGTATCCAGGCCTCCTCTCTAGGATTGGAAGGTTCCCAGGCAGGAGGAACATGGTACATTCCTGTTCACAGGTAGCCAGCCTGTAGCTCCCAGCCTCTCTGGGATTTGCTCAGCAGAACATTCCCCCCCTTCCTGCTGGATTCAATTGCTAATATATCATGTCCATTTGGGCAGTTATCATCATTAGAGATAAACAGAATACATGCTGTTATTTTGAGCGGTGGAAATTGAGCTTTAAAATGGCACCATGAAAGGAGAGACGTAGTTGAAGGGCTACAGGTCACTACTCCCTGTAAGGAACTCAGGTAGGTCCCCATGTCCTTGTGGCCACATAACCATGCCTTCTACTGTGGAGAAAGCAGGACAGGCCCTGTTCTTGTCCACCATGGGGCTGGTGGCTGGAGAGAGATTTGATGACAATGCTCCCATGATACTGGCTCACTCCCAGACATCGGGAAGAACTGACAGACAGAGGTGGCCATGCCGGAGCTGCGGCCTACACACAGAGTGGCTCCCTCTGCAGCTGCCGCTGGTAAATCCTTCTCTTCGTTCACATCTGTGGCTGAGGAAACTTCCATCCCTGGAAGAGTATTCCATCTCCAGCAGAAGCCCTTATCTGAGCTGAAGGATAATGGATTTCCATTTTTGTCAAGTTTTTTTTTTTTTTTTTTTTTTTTTTTTTTTATTAATTCTCTCTCTTTCTCTCGGACTTCTTGCCCAAACTGCTTAACTCTAGAAAATAGACCATTTGTTAACAAATCTTGCTGACCGTATTCCCTTCCTTCAGCCAAGCTCTTCTGACGCTCCCAAGGAAACCTCCTCTGTTGTGTCTGGGGTAAGCAAGCACCAAGGAGTAGTAGTAACCTTTCTCTCCTGCTGCTTCTTCCTCCCTAGCGTCCCCTGAGCCCTGCTCCGGGCCTGTAGCAGGAGGCTGGGTGGACAGAGAGAGGTTGGGACAACGAGAAATAACCTGACTTCTTCCTTATTTTCCTTCAGCGCTTTCCACCAGCACCATCTTCAGAAATCTAGAGCCTGCGTGGAAGAGCTGGGGAGAGGACTAGGTGGGGAGTCCCAGCCCAGGCTCCCTCTGGGAAGGGAGCAGCGAGGTCTTCATGGGCGCTGGGAGACTCCTTCCCAGCCTGGGCGAACCGTGCACAGTTATTTCACCTGGTTTCTCTTTTCCCCCTTCAGCAGCCCTATTCCCATATTTAAATGCAAGTATGTCTCCTTTTCATTGGCATTTTAAGTAGCTTAGCGTGACCTTTCTAGAGTAGCTCTTTCCCCTTCGAACGTCTCGCCCTCCGTAGAACCACGTAGCTCGGACCATAGTCTTAGTCTAGTGAGCTTCTAGTTCGCTCTGTGTGGAGGATGCTCCTCCTTTCTTTGTTCCTCTGCTTCCGGTGCATGTCTTCTTCCCTTGTCCAGTCCAAGTGCCTCATCAGACAGGCTCCGTGGCTAAAGTCAAGCAGCTCTTTGGGAGGCTGTTTGGTGGGTTTGCAGGGGCTTCTGGTGCATCATTTAAAAAAAAAAAAAAAATGGCCCTGCAAATGGGTCTTGGGATCAGGCTGCAAATGTCTACCCGGTAGCCGCAGATATTTTGTCTTTATGTATGTGGAAGTATGTCTGTGTATGCTCCAGTGCGTGACTTGTGTGTCAAGTTAGCAGCCAGAGAAGCCCAGGAAAGAGGAAGGACTCAACTGACGTCTTCTCTCGTGTGGACATTTTTCGGCCACATACTTGGCCTCAGCTTCCTTCCTGCCTGGCCTAGCTTTGCTAGACAGTGCGAGCCTTAACCACAAAGGATCCCTGGGCAGGGGTGGGAGGCACTCCAAGCTGGCTTCATCTGAGGGTGGCCTTATATACTGGAGTCACATCTACGTTCCCTGTTACTGCTGTGGAATGGGATGGGATATAGTCTGTGGTAGTTCACTTATCTGACATATGCGAAGCCCTGGGTTCCATCCCCAGCACCACAGAGTAATATCGTAATAATACAACTCTGGGAAGATTGAAACACTGACCGGGATCATGAAGAACCACAGGGATCACCCCAGATAGAGTCCCTCAGCCATCCGACATCGGCCCATGTATGTACTCACCTGGGAACACCCAAACGCTTCGCCCTCAGGCCTGGGGCCATGGCATGCTGACAGGAAGCTTTGACCAATCTAGAGCTCAAATGACCAGACCTTTGGAGAACTTTCGGGAGTGAAGCCATCTCTAGGCCATGGCACCTTTTCTGTGAAGAAGCCAGCCCCAGGTCCTTCCTGATTTGGAGCTCCAGCTGACCCCCACCAACAGGATCCCTGTAAGGAGTAGCAGGCCAGGCCTGGGGCATCATCAAATGTCAATGCAGAGTCAACAGAGACCTCAGCTCAGTTCTCAGAAGGCATAAGTCCTCCTCATGGTTGACTTATTGCTGTATGCTTCCTAGAATACACTTCTGGAATAACCAATGTGTGAGAGTCAGATATCTAAAGATATTGTGTCTTCCAGAAGCCTGAGAGCCACTGCTCTGTATCCCCCAACGCTGTCTGTGAAGCCCTTCCCAGCTGTCTTGTGTGTGACCTGGGGTCCTCTGTGGCTCCTCTTGACTCCACCCCTCCGTCTCTCCAGGCTTCCCAGCAGCGGCTTATGGACCAGTGGCGGCAGCGGCAGTGGCGGCGGCTCGAGGATCAGGTAGGAAGGTGTGCGGGGCAGGCGGCTCCCAGGCATGCCTCGTGTGCAGGGCAAGGTAAAAGCCCTGCCAGTCTGTGTGGCTGCGTCTGTCCAGCACCCCTCTCACCACAGCCCAGGGGAGGGGGTGGCGGGGACAGGGAGGTGCCACGAAGGCCCAGCCACCCAGGCCTGTTCCTACAGGAGTCTGCCACAGTCAGGGGACCGCAAACCCCAGGCAGAATTGTGCGCCCATTAACAAAGAGAAATGGCCTTTCCCTTTGGCTTTGGACCGTCCCATCTCCAAGCCCAGCTTTGGGGCATTTTGGTCACTGCCGTCCTTGGCTTTGGCAGGTTCAGAAGGTTCCCTTCCTGGGGTTGCTGACCTAGCCAAAGAGGTACTAGGTAGGCTTTCTCTCCAGCCACGGCTGGCAAGATGGGCTTAAACTCCCAGAGCCCTTGAAGCCAGATATGAACCAATCCTTGAGGTCAGAAAAGGAGGGAAGCTGCGGTAGCCTGAATCCCAGTTGCCCTAGACTTTTCTAAGCCAGGCGGCCACCAATGACAGGGGAGCTTTCTCTCCCATGACCTTATCCCCAGCCTTTTAAAAGATCTGGAAGCCTCCAGTGGCAAGGGAGTATTTCCCCAGCAATACTGTAAGGTCCAGCCAGAACTGGGGTGTGTCACCCCACCAGGAGAGCCACAGGCTTCCTGCCACGCACCAGGCACCTCTGCTGGCAGCTGCTCTCTCCACCTCGCTCCTCCCTCCTGAGCAGCTTGGCTCCTGGCTCCTTTACCCCGCCCCGCCACCCCACCCCACAAGCAGGGCACACTGGAGCACTGATTCAACACATCTAGGCTCTGAAGAGAGTGGGCAGGATGGGGTGCTGGTGAAGGTACCAGGAAGTGGAGCGTTAAAAGCCCAGAGGGCAAATGCCAAAAACCCAAACTGGCACAGTGAGGCTCATTAGAAAACGTCAGAGAAAATCCGTTCCATGCAAACTGGCGCTGCCTCTGAGCTACAAAGGATCCTCTCCCCCAAGAGACCCACTGGAGTTTTGGGATTTAATTGAGGGCGGGGGCTACCGAGGGGCAGTTTGACGGAGAGCTGGTGATTGGCAGGCAGTCTGGAAAGTCCAAATAGCTGGTCATTCTCAATTTCCATCCACTCGAGTCTCTAAAGGCACCACCTTGCCCTCTGGCCAGTGTCCCTTGGTGTCCCCTACTCCCTGCCCTAGGAAGGTGCACAGTTGCATCGTGTCTTCCTATTTCTGGTTGGGGGGATTTTAACTTGAGTGTTTTGGGGAATGAAAAAAAAGAAGCCTCATTCCTACCTGTGCCTGGGAGGGGAGACAGATCAAAAGAACAGTCTTGAAATTTGTGAGTGTTGTTTGTTTTCTCTGTTCAGTTTCTTTCTTTTGATAACTTTTGGATTATGAAACTAAACTTTAACCCGAAATTAACCCTGCCTCTCTCCCCACCCCACCCCGTTCCCTTGACTTCATGGCAAGTTTAAAGGGCAGTATGGGATTCTTTGCGAGTCTGAGAGCCGTCTCCCAGTCTGTGCCCCCTTCTGCTACCCCTGCCCATGCACAGACCCCCCCCTCCCAGAGCCAGGCGGGAGCCCCACTCACCCACCCCTCTAACTCCTAACCCTCAAGGTCATCTCCAACCACACATTTTGTTTCCAGGATCAGTGGTGTTTTCTTTGTAGCCATTTCCATCGGGAGCCAAAATCTCCCACAGGCCATCAAGGTCAGCCATGCTCATCACTGCACTGTTAGTGAATCGTATTCAGGAGTACGCTCCCCAGACCCCTGCCCACCCCAGCCTGGGTTAGCACAAACAGTAAATCCTCGGCTTGAGGTACCCACCCGAGGGGAAACCCCCAGTGCTGCCTAGTGGCTGTAGGCTTGGGCTGTGCCCACGGTAGAGAGAACATGGTCTGATCTGCTCATGGAGACTACAAACCCAGCCCAGAGCCCCACGTTTGGACTTGGACCAAGGCTGTAAAGTTGGGGAAGGAGACTGCCTTTTTCTCTTAACACATTTTGGCCCATCGGGAGACTGTCATCTTCTTCCCTCAAGAAGATGAAATGAACTCTGAGCCTGGAAGGTTGGTCAGTTAAGTGGCCCTTCATTGGCAAACACTGTTGTGAACTGAGAAAGGCCACCCAGCAATGCATGCTCTACACCAGGCCCAATAGGAGTCCCAGGCACTGATGACCCAGATTTCCCTGTACCAGCTCCTCGAACCTCGCCCCACCCCACCCCCAGCTTCCCGCTCCCCCAGCCTCCTGAGCAAGCAGCCTGCATCAGGGGTCCTCACAAACTCGTTAGACTCCACTGATCACTTTCCTGGAGCCTGGTACCATGCCACACCTGACTCCAGGAAATGTGGTCTCGGCTTCCAGGGACTCCTGGACTTGGGTTAGGGGTTAGACATCTTCTGGAAGGCAACATTTTTGTCATTATTTTTATCCAGCCCCACCGTTTTAGTTTTCAACCCTCTCTACCCCCACCCCTTCATTTTGACTTCCTTTCCCACGTTGGAGAGCACCTGCTGAGGGCCATGGGGGGTGGGAGGCAGCTTGGCTCTTTCTCAGGGTGGCAACTCCTATCTGTCAGGGCTGTGGTATCGAGGAAGTCAAGGGGGAGGCCTTGAGCTTCTGCCTCAGCCTGTTTCTCGGGGCTAGCCTGCCTACCTTTTCTTACTTCCCCCAGGACCTGAGGTGAGCAGGGCACAGGCGTCCCAGCAAGGGGTCCCTCTGCCGACTCCTAGATAACTTCACTATCAGTGGTCACTTTTCTTTCACGTTCACCTGGAAGTCTGAAACGTCATCTTTTCTTGTGCTCAGTCAAGAGTTTGTTTATTTTGATCGTACTCATTCAGTCCCAGCGGCACCACCCCCCCATCACGTCCCATCCAAACATAAATCCGCTTTGACAATTGACCACCCCTCCCCCAGCCTGAGGAAAGCAGTACCGATTCTCAGGGTACTTTTATTTTGGGGGTGACCTCATGGGTGGGTCCGTGTATCACCGTGAGAGCTTGCAGAGCCGCCCCTGGTATCACCCACCGACCCCTCCCCACCCTCAGGCCCCAGCCAGGACCCCTTACTGTACTTTATACTTGCCAGCTTTATTCCAGTCTAGTGACATGAGCTCCTGATGGTGGTGGTGAGTGTGAGCAGTCACGTTTCTGTTGTCTTTTCTCTTGCTTGGTTGGGGCTGCGGTGAGAGAGTGTCTCTGAGGCATACTTTCCTGCCTCTCTTACACTAGGACCTGCACACCTCCTCTCAAACACTCTTCTGAGCACGCTCAGCGGGAAGGTTTGTCCACACCTATTAACCCTCTCTCAGTGTCCAGCTTCCTGTTAGCACCAGCTGGTTTGCATGTTTTGCTTGTTCAGATGAAACAGTTCAAGAAACAAACTCATATCCAACTCTCGAGAAATGTCTTTTTTTGTACACTTTCGTTTTCTATTTTTTTTTTTATCAGTTACAACTCCAAAACACCTGTTGTCTAGTAAAGCATTTCACACCTCCCTTGCCTGTTCTTAGACTGTATGTATCTGTGGGACTGAACTAAATGCATGCACTGTAGTAGATTGTCCTGGTAGCTGTAGCCGTAGTTGTAGAACATGCATTGTTGAGTTGATATTACAGGGTCTCCGAAGGCGCGGCCCAACACCGCCGCCGCCGCCGTCTCAAGGGTAGCGTGGGGACCAGGAAAGAGAAGGGGTTCCATGTTTTCAATGTTGCCAAGGGGCTTGGATCCATGTTCTCGCCATCAGCCACCACCACCTCTCCTCACGATCCCCACTCTCCCAGTCTAGAACTGGGTCACCCCCCTCAGCTCTAGCCTCCCCAACCAAGATCCGGGTTCACCATAGCAGAAATGAATGGAGCCAGAGTTGGAAGGGGTCATCCAGTTCTTCCGAGTTCTTACCTCCCCCACACCGTTCTTGAACAAAGCAACAGATCTTTTCTTGTTTTGTTTTGTTTTGTTTTGTTTAAGGATCATCGGCCAGGCTTCTCTAAGCTCAGCCTCTTCTTGAGCCCTTCAGGTCCCTACGAAAAAGTCAGCCTGTGTCATCTGCTCCTGCGGGTGGAGGGAGGTGAGATGTGGTAGGGAAGGGGCTGAGAGCTTCAGCCCCTTGCAGACAGGGTGTGCATTTAGCCCTGGTTGATGTTGATATTGACTCTTAGGAGTGGTGATGATGGAAGGGGTCAGTGGGGTCTGTGATGGCCCAGCATCCCTTGAGTGATAGCAACTGGCATGGCTTTGCAGGGAAGAGAGAAGTGTGATAGGCCTGGGACAGCCAAAGAAGAGGCCACCTAGTTCCCCCTAGGTCTCCCCAGAAGGGTTTTCTGGAGGAGACCTTCGTTTTCCACTTTGAGCATGTGTGGTCAACCATCTTTGGACACACTGTCTTAAGGCATATGTGACGAGCCATAAGTGAGTACCAGAGATCTCAGAGCTTTTGTCCCTAACTTTCTAAGACCATATGAAGTGAGAATAGTACTTACTACCCAGAACCTACATGTCAAGTCGTGGTGTGTGACGGCTCTGACCAAACCCTACAGTCTGACAGGGGCATGGGCAGAACCTGGACGATACAGGTTATCTACCACGGGATACAGAATTCAGGAAAAAGTCACAGAGCCCATAACATCTTCAAAAGGCTGTGTCATGATAAAACGAAATTGAAGCCTCATGGGGGAAAGAAGCCGAGATGCTCTGGCAGAGTTGGAACACATGGGAACTGAGCATGCGCCAGGCCAGACAGAATGAGGACACCAAGGCTCCAGGTGGAAAAATTCAGGAGGAGCAAGGTCTCCCTGGGGACAGGGGAGGTAGGCAGAAGAAAATGGCTGAGACTAAGCTTTAGTGCTGCCGCAGATGCGAACTGATTCGGGCAGCAAGTGGGAACAGAAACCAGAGAGCAAAACCCCAGGCTACTGACCTGCAGCCTGCAGAACAGAAGGAGGCTCTGGTCCTGTAGTCTGGAGCCCTCAGA